TGGTGTTAAATGGTAGTAGTTTGTGATTTTAGCTATTTTTTCATCAGTGTCCTGTGTCAGTAATTTATATGCTATGCATTCATAAAGCTAGGTCATCAGTTGGCTGCAGACTGATCCTCCCTGGTACAGCCTATTGACATACCTTTGCCCCCTCTGCTCTAGTGTCCTCTGGGTCTCATTAGGTCTCAGGTCTCCAACTTTCCCTGCACACTTAAATTAGTGTTCCTCTTATAAAGTTAGACATGGTGTCCACCTGCAGGGATATGCCAGTGCATTGCCATGCATTCTGATTGCCCAAATGGCTTGTGTTTCGGTTTTTGCCTAGAATTTGTTAACTCTTGGGTGCAGTTATGTTATGGATTGAGCTAATTGGGTGAAATTAATTAATTTTCACTTTGTTCTGGTTCTACCATTTGATTTGGTTATCCCCAGTAATTGTCTCTAGATACACTTCCTGACTACACTTCTGTCTTACTCCGTGGCACCTTTGACCGGATCCTGATCATGAACCTTCTCAATGACTAGTACCTTGTCAGGCTACCTGCCAGTTACCACCAGCGAGGCCAACCCAGGAACCACATTCTGGGATTACTTGCTGCACAATTACCAAACTCACAATCATGAAGACCACCTACTTCTACCTTGACTAGAGCCTATGCCCATCCCGATGGTACCTCTAAGCATCCTTAGACCCCTCTGAAGCCCCTTTCACACAGCATTGTGAGCAGGTCCGCCTGTGAATTTCCAGGTGAAACTTGATGGGAAGCACAATGTTAGTGTATGGGGGGAGGTGGATGTAAGCGGACCTGCATCCATTTACATCCCATTACCTTCAAGTCCATCTAGGTCTACATATAAAAAAGGAACTGAATTATTTTTGGTGGACTGGAATTTTTTACCCCACAATAATTACATTTCTGATTTAATGTAACTATACAAACAGAAGAAAATCTGTATGACCACCAAGCCCATGATTGGGTGAAATGCGTCAGAGGGTTGGACCTTGTGCAGGCCACAGTTTTTGCTAGTCTGACTACATTTAATTGCCTCACACTTATTTCAGGTATTGCTTGTACCAAGGCAAACAAGTAGCCATTTTTATCAGAATAGGGTCTTTCAGGGTTTTTGCCTTGTAAGTTTGTTAGGAATGAATAGATAGTCATATACTACATAGGGGGGTTCCTAAATGGCACACTGCGATTTGGACATGGACTGAGCAGCGCTTCTGTCCAGACCATGATCAAAGACCTGTGTCTGAGCATCCACTGCCAGCCATAACCCAGCACAGGCCCCCCTCCTCTGCAGTCATTGGTTGCTAGGCCTGTCGCTTTCCTAGCAACCATTGATATTAATTGTGTTCCCTGACCCAACATTACAGGAGGACAGAAGAACTATTGTCTTCCATCCTCTTCTGCAGCTTACACTGCCCCCTGGCTCCACCTCTGAACTAACTAAGGTACTATTAACTATATGAGGACAGTAATATAAAGGGCCACGCTAAAGGGGACAGCCAATTTTAGGGGACACTCTGATGGGGACAACTAATTATTAGGTGTCCTCATCAGAGTGCCCCCTTACATTAGATGCCCACATCAGAGTGCCCGCTTACATTAGTTGCCCCCATCAGAGTGCCCCCTGAGATTACTTACAAAAGTAAGGGGGCACTCTGATAGGGACAGCCAATGTAAGGGGGCACTCCGATGGGGACACCTAATGTAAGAGGGCACTCTGATGGGGCCAGCCAATGTAAGGGGGCACTCTGATGGGGACAACTAATTATTGGTTGCCCCATCGTAGTGTCCCCTTATTTTAGTTGCTCCCAACAGAGTGACCCCTTACATTAGTTGCCCCCATCAACGTGCCTCCTTACTTTAGTAATTAATGTAAGGGGACACTCTGATGGGGACACCTAATGTAAGGGGGCACTCTGATGGGGACAACTAATGTAAGGGGTGAACTATGATGGGGACACCTAATATGAGGAGGCTCTGTGATGGGGACACCAGTGTAAGGGGGACTCTGATGGGGACACAATGTAAGGTGCACTCTGATGGGGACAACTGGTGTAAGGGGGCACGCTGATGGGGACACATAATATAAGGAGGCACTCTGATGGGGACACCTAATGTAAGAAGGAACTCTGAAGGGGACACCTAATGTAAAGAGGCTGTCTGATGGGGACAACTGATGTAGGGGGGCACTCTGATGGAGAAAACTGATGCAAGGGGGAACTCTGATGGGGAAAAACTAATGTAAGGGGGCATTAAGGGGACATGAGATTCAAACCTTTTCGCAAAGAAAATTTGAACTGTCAAAACAATCAATTGAGCATCAGAGAAGCAGAGTGAAACAGAACAAGCTCTATAACAGGGGTTACTAAGGCTGCATTCACACTAGTTGCATTGGGGCTGTGCTGGTTGCTTTTTCCAGCGCAACCCCAATGCTAGACAAGGCAATTTGTCTTGTTATGAATGGGCTCTGTTCACACAGCCATTATGGTGGTGTGCACTTTAATAAAGTACTGCATGCAGTACTGTCTTTCAGTGCAACAGGCCACAATGCGTAACAACCACATCACACCACACTGTGCCAAAAGAACTGGATATAATGTCACTTGTGAGATTTAATTAAAGTTGTAACAAAAAAAGTAAACAATGCAATGCACCTGTGTTGCAGTGCAGCTGCTGGTGTGAATGCAACCTAAATGGCGGACTGCGCTCTGAACATGGACTGAGCGAGTTTCCTGTCCGGACTGCGTTTCGGACCTCTGCTCAAAGAACATTTTATTCACTGGGCTACTTTGAATTTTAATTAAATACTCCTGTTATATAGGATCCCTGAGGAAAAGGAGATTGATTATAACTGGCTTTTGCAGGCAGCAGATAATTAATATTTCTAAAGTAAGCTCTGGAGAGAAAAACGCAGAATGAAAAGAATCAATTGCCCGGTACCATATAATTCACTATGAAGTGTGTAATAGAGTCAAATGCTATTAACCCATTTAGATAGATCCAGCAGGTAGAGTCTCATATTGTAAAGCCAGTTCTTATCTGACTAAACACCGCTTGGCAAACGTGACTGGCAGGGTGGTAGATATTGGGGAATTTCAAAATAAATAAATACACAATAAAGGAGATACAGACTAATGTGCTTCTCTTTGCATACCATGTGAATGCAGAACCAACACCGTCACTTTGTTTTAGCATGTTGCATTACATTAACACATCTTTGATTAGTCTAGTATAATAGCTGACGTGTCAAGGTCATGGTAATCTCTGTGGATGCAATCCAAGTTTACTTGGCAATAGTTATTCATGACTTATAAATAAGGAAATAGATATTCCTCTGTGAAAGAATAGCAGAGTAGATCATGGTAACAGCACAGCATGGTATGACATATAAACAGCTGTGACACAGTTGGCATGGCTGATGTAAAGCAGGGAACAACTGTCACATCATAAAATGTCACAGCAGTATAAGTGATTTCTTAGGGAATTGGTTTATTTTATGAGCAGCACAGGTAAGCATCTGTACTCACAACTCTGTGTAGATCTGCACAAAGTAGCATAGCAAAAAAATACTTATTTCTAGTGGACACTAGTGCTGAGATCTCTACTATGGAGTTTGAAGCCTGACTCTGTGCACAAGACAAAACAAATCCTTGCAGTGCTCCCCCCACTGCAAGGGTTAAATGCTTATTAGGTCTGGGCAGTACAAAAAGAGGGGATATTACTTACCCCCTGTTCGGGCACTCTCCTCCTCACCATGGAGGTCTGGGCTGTGGTCAGTCCCTCCGTATCATCCTTTACAATGCAGAGGTATCAACCCTGCATGGTGCATGGAGAAGGCAAATGTGCATCAGGAGCACCTTACAAAGGAGGCTTTGTAGGAGCAGTCCCAGAGATGGAGGGAGCCTTCCAGAGCAAGGAGTAATGTAAGTATTCCTCCTGCATCCCTAGACTTAACAAGCCATTTATTTATTATTTTATTACAGGTATTTATATAGCGCCAACAATTTATGGAGAACTTTACAAACTGGACATTCACATCAGTCCCTGCCTCAAGGGGCTTACAGTCTAATGTGCCCATCTCACATGCATACAAGGCCCTATTTACAGACAGGAGCCAATTACCTTCAAGCATGTCTTTAGAATGTGGGAGGAAACCCACGTAAGCACAGGAAGAACATGCAAACTGCTTGCAGATAGTGTCCTGATCAGAATTCAAACTGGGGGCCCCCAGTACTGCAAGGCAGAAGTGCTACTCACTAAACCTTGCAGTGCGGGGGGGGGAGCAGTAGGCACTGCAATGTTTTTTTGGGTGTCTGGAGTTGGGCTTTCATTATGACAAAGGCCTCACTTTTCACATTGGAGATTTCAGTCCCAATTCCCAAAACAAATTTCCGTGTTTTTAGATAATGCTTTGGAAATAAACCACCTCACCATTTCTTATATCTCTCAGTGACTCTATTGGTGCTCAGACTGAGGTCATCAAGTGGGCTCCTGCTGGATTTTTTACATTAATTTGATAGTTTGGAAAACGCCACACAAAGGATCCACACAGGTACACAAAAGTAGCCACAACCGAAAGTCAGACATTGCATCAGGGAGTTCTCAATATAGACTCGGCCCGCCAGGCTCCACTTCACTAAATGATTACTGGAGTAATAGAATCTACAGATGGAAAATGTTCTTGCTGCATTAGAAGGAATGAGACTCCAAGAAGCAGGGAGAGTGTTGGAAGGCCAGTAGATTTACCCAACCAGACTCTTATACAGTAGCTAAAATCTCAGTTTTGGGACGACTAACCCTTTATTAAATATTCTAATTAAATCTGTGTAAAAACTACAGCTCCAATGTTTAATAAGGTTCTGTATAAAATAGTTCAGCATGTAAAGATTTTATAGTTGTATGAACTGTAATACGGTAGGTATATATGCACGATTTCCAGCCATCATGAAAGTAGATCTTGTTTTTTAACACATTTATTTTCTTTTTCAGGTCATTCTGTTAAGCCATTCATTATGGATTCTAAAGTAGGGGAAGGGGATAGCCCTGTTGATGACAACTCAGGTAAGTGGATTGCTGTTTACATTTAGTGAGTCTCTATGCTATGAATTCTCAAAAGCTTTTTGATCGCCATATGATCTGCCATATGAACACAAGGTGGCAGCACAGAGCTACATTTATTCAGTATGTGGACTGATATATTTATTGAGGTTCCAATCACATTTCAGAGACTCAGCTAAAAAAAATAAGGTTGTAGGTATTATATTATCTTTACATAATAAGCTCACACTAATATAGTAAGTTTAGCTTTACAAGTCCAGTCAGAGTTGAAAATAAGGCTTGGACACACAGCTTATCTGCTCAGGGCTTCAATAGGCATAGATATAGCATAACACCCAATTGCCTTTTCTCAGTGATCAAGCAGAAAACTTTGTCTGATTCCTGCTAAAATTTGAGCCGTGTGTAGCACCTTCAGCATCAACAAAAAAATGTAATTTGTTGGCTAACAAATGACTGCATACTATCAGATGCAATCACTGTTCGGGTATTCAGATACCCAGCTCTCTGAATACAATAGCCGGCAGAGGATATTCCCTCTTCAATGCTGTTTAACATAGATGGAGGAATTCCCAGAACAGGTCAGTAATTAAGTATTTGTCTGTTTTTTTTATTAATTTTTTTAATGATGGGGCATATGCTGTATCTACTGCTTGCTAGCAGTAGATATATGCCAAAAAAAGAGATACTTTAATTATATTTCAAATTCTCATTTTTGCCTAGGGTCAAAAATAAAAGAAGTTATACTCAACTGAACCTCGGACCTGGCTGGCTCTTAGTACCGTGCCTAGAATGTCTCTCCTCCTCCGCTGCAGTGGCCTAGGAATCCTTGAGTCCTAACGTCCAATGCAGTGTATAGGACGTGAGGATGCCAAATGACATACCATTGCTGCAGTGGAGTAGGAGACAGGCTGTAGGGAGTGCTGCCGGCTCCAAAGATCGGGTGAGTATAACTTTTTTTGGGGGACTCTAGGCAAAAATGAACAGTTAACCCTTGCAGTGGGTTCTAAAACAGGATATCAGGGCCAGTCCTAAAATAGGGTATCAGGGCCAGAGCTCAGGGAACCAGCTGATTCTGCAGGAAAATAAGAGGGTTATTCACAAAGCTGCCGAAGGCAGCCAAGTGAATAACCGACCCGAAGTGAAGTGAGCCGAACGTTGTTCAGCTATTCACTTCAGGCTTGTACGGCTGATTTCAGCCATACATCGGCTGACATCAGCATGTTTGGCTGACCTGAAGTGCAGAAGGAGTTCGACTCAGCCTCGCTGCCGTTCGGCCTATTCCCATAGGGGCCGAACAGCAGTAAGTGAATAGCCGACTTTCGGCTCAGCTATTCTGCTTGGTACCTCAGCGGTACCGAGCAGAATAGAAAAGCAGTGTAAAAAGTTAAGAAAAAAAAAGTCGTAAAAAAAGTTTCGAAATGTAAATAATAGATCAATGTGCAAAAATAAAGATGCAGTTCCGGGAACCAGGCGGGTAGATTTTTTTCTATATTTAGCCCTGCTTCGGCCAAGCAGGGCTAAATGTAGAGCAGGGAGGTTGCCGTTCGTTTTCTACAAGTGATCTCGACAATGTCGCAGAGATCACATGTATGCAGCCTGCAGGTCCAAAAGTAAATTGAGGTACCTGATTCCTCAACCACACATCCATACTACAGACATGCCTTTCTACCTCCAGTTTTGGTTATCATGTGCTCACCATAGCCTCATTTTCCTGTACTTAATTGACAGGAGTTATACCCAGAGTTGTGGTCTTCTGATTCTGTAGGGGCAATTGTTAAAGTGTTCACTAAGTGTACAATATCTGTGTGCATTTAAAGTAGAACCACAGCCACAACCAGGGCCGGATTTCCCACAAGGCTACAGAGGCCCGGCCTCAGGGCAGCAGGGAGTAGAGGGGCAGCAAGGCTGTGGAAGTTCTATATCCCGACGTCCGGGACATGGTTTTTTTCTACATTTAGCCCTTCTTTGAGCAAGCAGGGCTAAATGTAGAACGGGGGAGCCGCTGCTCGTTTTGCACAAGTGATCTTGGCGATGTCGCCAAGATCACTCGTATGCAGCCTGCAGTTCTGTCCCTCACCCAACCTCGGGGAGGAGGGACGCCTTGAGGAACCTGGCCTGGGGGCAGCAGAGAGAGTAAATCTGTCCCTGGTTATAACCCTTTTCGGGTTTTTTTACCATATGTGTCCCATTGGGGAGATTTCCTTTCACTTCCTGTCCGATAACGACAACTGGAAGTGAGAGGAAATCCCTCCAAAGAGAGGGAAATTCCTGGTGGTCAGCAGGGTCACCACAGGGTAGTGTTTCCATTGGAAAGCTCACTCCAAGCTCACTCCTGTGATGGTCTACAATCTCAATACAAATGAGTAAACTAAACATGAAATAGTAGTGCATCACTGCAGTGAGCTTGGAGCGGTGGCTACTTTACAACACACACAGGGACCACGAGGAACAAAAGTAGCCACCCTCCAGAAGGAAGTACAGTCTCAGCACCAATTCAGAGATGATTTGAGGATCTACAGCTGAGTGATACACAAATAAGATACATTTCTGTTAATAGTTAGGGTGGTTGAATGCATTATTAAGATTTAACTCCTGAGTTCAGTGTCACTTTAAATAGAAAGTCCATCACTTGGGTCTGGAATTTATTTTCTCATCTTCACTGTTTTTCATTGTTGGTGTAAATTTATACCCAGTCCATATATTGACAATTCATGTTACACACATGACACAAGAACTGTATGTTATATGTAGGTCAAGGAAAGATATAAAGTGGAACTTCAGGTAGCAAATAAAACACCCTTTAGTCAGTTCTATATTCATGAATAAATCATTAAAGTGTATCTATAATGATTTTTTGTTTTGTTTAATTTTGCAGTCATTTGTATTTATTCATATTCTTAAAATGGTGTGTTTAATGAGAAAATCATGATTGAATATCTGCTTAGACATAACCATTTGAAAAGAGAGAAACACAAGGGGATTTAGCTCTCAAATTATATTAATTTAATGTAATTAATTATATTAGTTGAACTCCCTGCCATTACTGTTTTGGGGAGGGGTTAGTGATTTCTGTAATTTGAACCAGGCGGTCTCTCCAATGAAGTCACATATAGCAATAATATCAATTTTTTATAGATAATGGAGAGGTTAAAGACAAAGTCCACATTAAAACATATATATATATATATATATATATACACACACACACACAATCTGCACAAATTCAGAAAAATTTGTTATTTATTTATTCATTTTGCATTGGAGACAGTAAAGCATTGCAATTATGATCAGTGAATCACGGCTGCAATGCTCTGGCTCTTGCAGATACTCCCTTCCATCCCTGTCCTGTACTGAGGTACAGACATTCAGTAACAGGGGCAGGAGGAAGTGTCATCAACACACTTGTATTCCATTGAGAACTAAAAGTCCCTCTGCCACAGTTACAGATGGGACTTGTAGTTTCTCCATTCACAGATCCTGTCAAAGGATCAGTGAATGGATGACACGGCTGTGTGTGTGGAGCCATTTCAGAATGCAACAGCAGCCTGTTGGCCGAATAACCCAACGATTTAGGTAAGTGGGGGAGGCGGGATGGGGTGGGGGTGATGATGTCACCATGTTTCATGAATATGGGTGTAACATGAAACATGGTTTTAAGTGTAAAGTTAGCCTTTAAAACCTATTAAATTGCCAGTCTGGTAACCCTGCAGAAGCAGCACGGCTTGGTCACAATCACCCCTCTCCCTCCAGACTGCAGGTTGAATAGTGAAAGAACAGCAGCACACTGATGAGTTATCATCATTTGCTTATAGTGTTCACTCTTGCTGTCAGCAAATTCCCTGTCAGCGCATGTGCAGGGCAGTATAGCCTGATTGGCTCCTAATGCTAGTTCTCCCTTTCCCAGTATGAGTGCTGCTCTGTAGAGGATTAAGCCACGGTGGGCAACTCCGACCCTCCTACTGTGCTTTACCTACAAATCCTCACTTGCCTCTGCATCTGGGAGTCATGCCTGTAACTGTCAGTTTACTAATTGCACTTAAAAAAAAATTCAAATTGATATTTGAACAAATACATAACTGAATTTACTGAGGATTTCATTCTGTTCAGCTTCAAACCTGAATTAAATGAAATCATATACCTGGAGACCTTAGCATTTAAAAGTAAGCTATCAGTTTCTAAATTGGACTCTAAAAATGACTGCTGGAATCCAGATAGCTGCAATGCAAATGTTTGTTTGCAAAGTATCAAACATCTATTGCACACGCCTATGTCCAACTGTTACACTGAAATAAGTCACAGGGAACACGCCTAGGTTTCAGAGTTCAGATACCTACATAGACAATAAGCCTTGCAGCCTTTTCCCTTACATGGGCATGGAATTCCTCTGTGACCTAGAATTTGTCTATAATCTGCAATATAGAACACAGTGTGATATGTATTTAGGACAAGAGAGACATGATCTCGCTAAATGCAGTTACACAATAAGGACGAGTTTTATATTCCAGTCTTTATAAATAAAGGATTTTACAGATGTTTTGTAAAAATAAAAAAACAATCAGTATCAAGTCAAGAGAAGAGGTTACATTTTGCAATGCAAGATATGCAGAGATTGGCAAAAAGTAAAGCTCTATCAATACACTAGAAGGAAAATCTAGAGAGGTTTCTTAACTGAGATTCATCGTAAGGGTTTGAAGGATAGCCTTAAGCTGGCCATACACCTATAGATTATCTGCAGATTTTCTATGGTCAGATGGAAAAAGTGCAAGAGATTCCTCCAACTACGCTATACTGTGTGGATGGAGGAATCTCCCACTGGACCAGGCTTCAGTATCTTGCTAGTCGGCCCCGCTGGCTCTCAAAATACCTAAACAATGCCTGCATCCAATCAGACTGTTCAGATATTTTGAGAGAGCTAGGCCGACTAGCAAGATACTTCAGCTTGGCCCAGTGTAAGATTCCTCCATCCACACAGTTTAGTGTAAATGGAGAAATCTGTTGCACTTTTTCCATCTGACCATAGAAAATCTGCAGGTAATTTATAGGTGTGTGGCCAGCTTTACACGGAGTTGGCCCGCGGGCCGGTACTTTGAGACCCCTGGTATAGAGTTATCAGGTGGGAAATCTGTGTTACCCCAGAGGGGAGTAAGAAGACCCTGAACTGTTGAAAGTTTAAATTTATCAACAATTTTGCTTGGAGTTTTCTTTTGTCTGAGGGAGCCAAAGAAGAAAGCCTGAGGGGGTATCGGAGAGGTGTTTTGTTAAAGTCTATGATATAGTTACTGCTTTTATGTCCTGGAGCCGTGATCAAGGAGTATTTGTGTTTAGGAGTGGAGTTATGCCAGATAAATTTAGTGCAGGGAGCCTGAATTTTCTTCATGAAGGCATTAGGTAGGTGAATAGGTATCATTTGCATCTGGTATAATATTTGAAGAAGGATGCTCATCTTGGCAATAACCAATCTGTTTCACCTTTTAAGTTGCATTAGTGAAATAAATGAACTTTTGCACGATATTCTAATTATTCGAGTTTCACCTGTAAAACCACACCCCAATGAAACAGCTGTTTGGTTAATGCCATAACTCTGGTTAGGTCAAAATTACCAGGTAATTTTTAAATATTAGGTTACATTTTATTTTTTAAATATGAGCTTCAGAAGCACCTGTCAATTTTTTTTTGCTAGCTGCTGTCTAACAGGGTTATTCACAAAGGGGGGAAGAGTTTGGGGAAGTGAACAATCTAGGCCAAAATAGCTGATTTGGAAAAATTCTCCAATTCACCTCAGTTTCCAGTTCAGCTATGTTGTCGTAGATCAGTGGTGGCAAACCTTGGCACTCCAGCTGTGCCGAAACTACAAATCCCAACATGCATCTGCCTCTGGGAGTTATGTCTGTGGCTGTCAGGGCCTTGCAATGCCTCATGGGACTTGTAGTTCCAAAACAGCTGGAGTGCCAAGGTTCGCCACCACTGTCCTAGATTGTCCACTTCTCCTGACTTCTCTAAACCCTTCAACCTTTTGTGAATAACCCTGTATATGTGAAATCAGAAATCCAAGTCCATTAGAGGCCATAACACATGCATTAATGTGCTTTACATTGACATGCATTTTAGATGCCTTATGCTTTGTTGACTTGAATGGAAAATGCATGTCAGCATATCCAAATTGCAGGATTTATCCCTTGGTTTGCACAGGTACTATTTAAAACAATGGGAGGAATTTATCAAAATGAACCAAACATAATCTAGAGCAGTTGCCCATGGCAACCAGTCTGCTACTATCTTTAATTTTTAAAGCCTAATGGAAGAAGGGGAAGAGAGAAGCTAATTGGTTGCCATGGATAACTGCTCTGGATTCTGTTTTCTCCAGTTTTGATAAATGCCCTCCAATGCATTTTCTCTTAACCTTGTGGTTTGCCTGCAGTATAAAATTGTAGCAGAAGGCATGATGATACATCTTTCTTTTATATATATAAATTCTTTATTTGAAATACAAAACAACAAAAATGGATAACAGTGACGCAGACAAGGGAAATGAAAAGACAGCAGGACGGGATAACAAAATGTCGGCATAGTCGATGGGCCATGTCCTATCTCGGCATTAACTCAGGTAGTTCTGACCTCATCCAACCATTGGGAATCAAGGAACATGTAATACGCAGTTGTCTCCCGCACTTGTTAGATTTGGTGGTGAGGGGAGGGAGGGAGAGAGAAGAAAGGGGAAAAGATAGAGCAGATCGAAAGAGGAAGACCAAGGTGTATAAACGTATAGAAGAGAAGAGACCTAGATGATGCATCCTTTTTGGATGAGCCCTCACTGTTCGGCCTGGCTGTATTTTCTGTAGTAATTTGCTGCTGACCCAGTAATTCACACAGGCAAATTATTTGCAGGGAGAGGCTTGTGGAGCCGTCATAGCTGAAATGGAGGAATAACTTTGTTTTGACAAGCAGCACAACGCTTCTATAAAAATAAAATGCAGACACATGCAAATAAGTGTACAAGAAATATTGTTTGGATGGATGTTAATGCACGCATTTATTTCCTGTCCTGCTTGATTTTATTTTTCTAGCCAAAAAAAAGTTTAAATTCAAATCTTTCAAAAAATTATTTGGGCTGAAGAAGAGGAAAGAGTCGCTGCCTTCTTTGGGCAGTAGTGGGCTGAAGCTGAGCCAATCTGCAAGTGATGTCACCGTTCCTGACTCTGGGAACACAGATTATGATTCTGAGGATGACACTGAGTAAGTCATATCGATTAACCTACTGCTAATCTTTTTATTAAAAGACTCAAGCAACGTTTCGATTAACCTACTGCTGTGTACAGATGTGCCAGTTTTTCATCTTTCTATTGGTTCTTTTAAGAAATCTGTATCTGAAACCTGCTGATTCTCACTCTGTGCTAAAACACCATTATTGTCTTATAAATCTACTCTAAAATGAACGCATAGTAGATTAGTTCCAAGCCAGATGTCAGAGGTTAATGTTCTAGTATGTGTATTTGTAATAGTGTTTTGCTGAATGACAATAAACTCTCATGTTATCCAATCTAGCAGAGTGTATAGTTATTTCGCTGTAGAAGTCTGTGTCTTCAGCTTAGACTGCAAAGGATTTTTTTTAATTGCTCGGTAGCTTACATTTAAGTTCTTGTTGGCAGACACCTTGCAACACATTGATTTCTGTTTTCTGCAAATGAGAACTTTGCCAAAAAAGTAGGTTAAGCTCAAGCTACTTAGCAATTAAATTGTATGTAAAGCAAAAGTCTGTTTTTCAGTGTGTTTGTTTTCATGTTTTTCTGTATACAGTTTACAAATGTAGAGCTAAACTCTAGACCAGATATGTAATATATCGTGGCTTACTAGTCCTTAGTTGTGGTGGTTGCATTTGTTTTCCAGGCTTTCTTCTTTTATTTTCACCTGGTGATCCTGCAGTGAACACCCTTTCTGCCCTAGGTCACTAATACTCACTGTACTCTATCTATGGAAGAGCAGCGTTATCATCATAGGACAGGATTACAGAACACCTTCCCCTCTCCTCTCTACTATACTTGCAAAAATTGTTTTAGCCTTAAAAAAGAAAAATAATGCAGCCACCTCATTTAAGGACCACCTCTAAGCTACAGTATATCACCCTTTTTGTTCTCGGGTTTAGGTATACTTTCAGCAATTCTTTTTCTTACTTGGAGATTCTGCCAGTTCCAGCACTTTCTGTGTTGCAGGCTCACAACACTAAGCTGCTGCCTCTAAATTAGTAGCAGCATTATCAGCCAGCCTTGTGCACTCCTTCATTCGGCTTATCAGATAGGCAGCCCCATGGCTAATGGAAGGAGCCCAAATAGCAGGTTGACCACACTGCAGCTAATTGTGAGGCAGCTGCTTTAGGCTGTTCTGTTTTTGCAGCATCTTCAAGTAAGCAATGTTACAACAAATTCAGAAAAAAATATTTGCTTAAAGATGAACTCCAGTCAGTGTTAACATACTATGAAGCCACAGCCTTACCGTTTCCCCAAGACAGTTCTTATGTTCTTAAAGCTGACCTTTACACCGTTAAACAAACATTATTTTTTTTTACTTACAATTATTGTTTTTCACTTCCTGGTACTCTTGGGCATCAGAGATGCATCCTGGGAATATTACATTAGCAGTGCATTGCTGGGAAATCTCATCTGTAATCTCACAAGATCTTAGCGAAAGACATTTTCACTAAGTCACATGTCTTTGTCACATGTGCCAGAGTTCCAGAAAGTAAAGGGAGATATATTAATCTACCCTTAGTAAAAATGGGCACTGTAAAAAGAATGGGGAGGAAAAAGAAAAATAAGATATGCAAAGAATAAAAAGCCGGCAATTATCTAGAAGTATGTGTTTGTATATTGCGATTACTAAATGTGTCTATTGTCATTTCAAAGATATGGGTTAACTTTGCAGCTTTGCCACTAATATGCAGCTTGAAACATCAGTCGCCAAGCCTCTTTAGCTGTTTCTGATGATCAGTGGCCGCTTATCTCTCCTAAGAGCATGGAGGCCAGTCATGGAACTGCCCTCTTGTAGTTTATTGATGGCAGCAGTGACTTAAGTTGGTGGGTCCAGTTGGCAGACCACCTGTTTGTGGTCAACATGTGATTCCTAATATAGAAAAGGGAACTGATAGTATCTGTACTGATAGGAACTGATAAGTTTTACAGGATCACCGAAAATCATTCAAGGAATATTTTAGGAAATGTTTGTAAAATGGAAGGTTCCTGTTATTACTTTAACTGTCTCAGCAGGTATAGTAACAAGGTAGGTCATGTCATTCCAGGGCTGCAGCTGCAGTGCTGGGGAGCAGAGCTGTGTCTCATGACAGCATCTTCATTCCAGAGATAGTACAAGAGACTGCCCGACCAGTGCGCGTCTTCTCACAGGACCATGTGTCTGACAACATCAAAGCATTGCAGGTATGTCACAACAAAATATTATACTTTGGTTCTTCTTAATGAAGAAAAATTGACACAATGCTTGCATATAAATTGTATTGGTTCCAATGAGTTTCAAAAAGACCGTTTATAGGCTTTTTTCCAGCCCAACATTACTTCAAGTGATAAACAGAAAATACTATTGGGAACTCCAAAACCTGTACCCAAGGACAACCTTATTCTTGTGTAGTCTTGGCGTCTTCACAGAACTCTATGTAGCAATTCAGACTGTATATAAAAGTTTAAGGATGCATTCTTTAGTGGGCATACTTGAGGAAATTAATAGAGGTTGCTGGATTTCCTAAAACATTTTGTATTATTACACAACAGGGTAGAGGCAAATAGGTACAGTGAAAACTGTACACACAGCCAATGTGTTTTGGATGCTTAGCCTTGTCACCTTCATCTGGGCTTGCAAGATACAAAATGTTGTATGCAGACTTGCTAGAAAAAAATCTACAGGGTTATTCACAAAAGGGTGAAGAGTTTGGAGAGGGCAGGAGAAGTGATCAATCTAGGACAACATAGCAGATTTTGACATTCTCTAATTCAGCTCACCTTCCAGTTCAGCTATGTTGTCCTAGATTGTTCACTTCTCCTGGCTTCTCCAAACTCTTCACCCTTTTGTGAATAACCCTGCTAGTTATTATTTGGACTGATTTGTTTATATGCTCATAAGCAGCCTTTAGTTGGAAGGGATTTGATTAATCCATGTTATCTTGCTGATCCAATCAACCCTACCAATACCTGGTGGGATTTTGTTAGGCCTTCGACATTATCTCTTCATTGATATACTATTAGAAGTCAGTGGTTGTAAACATATCTATATCTCACAGTTAAAGCTCCAATCCAATATAAAAATTGGACCACCCCCTTTTGGCATGCTGAGTAAACGCACTGAAGATCCTGGAACCAATTCTGAAGATGATGGATTACCAAGAAGCCCTCCTGAAATGTCTCTTATACATGAGGCCATCAAAACTAGGGTAAGTTCTTCTTTTAGGAGGTATATCAGTATAGAATATGTACTAATAAAAGGTTGGTTTGTTGCATGAATGTTTATTTTTAGTTAACATAGTTGATTTTTTAATACTGCAAATAGGCCGTTCACTGCAAGAGAATTTTCAATTTGCAAGGCAACATCTACAGACCTCCATCTTCCAATCAACGTGCAAGCAAAAATACTTTTTTTTGCACATGATTGAGTATTATTGAAAAAATTGATTCTTACCACGTTCACTAAGCTAATGGTAAATTCCCTTGCAAATTGAACATTTATTTGCAAAGTCAACAGCCTATTTTATTTAACCAATCAACTCCATAACATTATCTGCATATATTGTCAAAGAAAAACCTCAACTTTGTACCATGACTCTATAACTGTGGTGTGCCTAATATTAAGTACAGTCATGTGTGCTTCCATTATCTTACACACTGTTTTATACTGGAATAATTGGAGAGAAGGGAACATACAACCAAGAAAGGGTCAAAAGATATAACAGTGGGGGAATGGGTGTAAAAAAAGAGGTAGGTAGATGGGGAGGAAACAGAAAGAAAATAATATATTTGTTTTGTTAACTATATGTATTCATAGTTTGTTTTACAAATAACATTTCTTATTTGACAAATAATTCCCAAAGCACTGTGGGATATATATTTAGTAAATATGAAACAATGTGTGCTGTTTATGTAAATTCTTTATTTTGCAACTAAACATTAAGTGGTCCTATTATAAATGTTTTCATGCAAGATTCACACAAATTTCACCCATGATTCACACATTTGTTTCAGTTGAATCAGGTTTAAAAAATGTGTTAATCTTGCCTGAAAAGATTTTTAAATAGACCCCTTAGTAGTGAGTACACACACTAGTGTCACAGAGCTGTTTTTTTATACTCTAATGTAAAGTTTTATCTTGTTTACATATTTGTACTTTCTTACTATATTAGTATTATGTTAATAAAAAAGAAAGAATTATAGATTCTTTCGCAGTAATGTAAACCAAATAGAGCTTCCAGCAGTGAATGTGAGATCTTTCTGTGTTATAATTGACATTTCCATAAATGTGATAAATAATCATAGATTTTGTATTTCCTGTTTTTAGTTTTCTGACATTCATAGACATCACAGTTCTCTGAGCTTAGGTGGCACTGGCAGTGAAGAAGATGAACAGGTAATATACCTTTTGTGGTCTTTAATATTTGTTTAAAAGTTAAAGTAACCTTTCTATTACACTGATGTTGCTTCTTCATTTTGTTGTAGTGTATGTCAAAAAAATGCTATTCTTATATCTTGGTCTTTTGTCAGGAGCAGAAGGAGGTCAATTTTTAGTATATAATTCAGCTCTTTGTTACATACCGTGTTTCCCCGAAAATAAGACAGTGTCTTATATTTTCCCCCCCCCCCAAAAAACACACTAGGTCTTATTTTCGGGGGATGTCTTATTTTTTTTTTCCCCATTGAGCATCCCCTCCACATACTTTTTTTTCTACCATAATTTAAATAATAAAGATAACATGCTGAGGAGGCTGAGGCACACAGGTGTGACACAGATCAGAGATATGGAATGTACTGTATCAAACAGTACCTGAAGGCTGCAGCTGTCCTGGAGCTCTCCTCTCTGATGCCGTCCAGGGAGCCACCTCGTGGCATGGACCAGTCAGAAGTTCCCTCACCTCCCCTGACCTCACTACGACCCCACTGGTCATGCCGCTGCCTGCTGGGAAGGTGTAGTTTTCAGCGGCAGCTTTCTATGTACCGTAAAAGCCGAGGCAAAAGCCGAACTAGGTCTTATTTTCGGGGTAGGTCTTATTTTCGGGGTAGGTCTTATATTACAGAAATCTCTGAAGATAGCGCTAGGTCTTACTTTCGGGGTAGGTCTTATTTTCGGGGAAACACGGTAGTATCAAGTCTGACATTTACAGCCAGTAATATGGCTGCTCCACAGGGAGTACTTCTAACATGTTCAGGGTGTTTGCCTCCTTTTTTAAAGTAAAGTAGATTCCTAGCAACAGCATAGATGGTTACATCATATGTATAAACAGATTTCTATAAGAACTTTTAATGGCCTTAGAATGTCAGTGACGGTTTATAAAACACTTAACTGTATGCACAGTTAGGGTATACTGATAATAAATGTCAAGGGGTACTTGAAATAAGATATTCCACACCAGGGAGTGTCTGGTAAAGGCTGGCTTCTGAAAAGTGGCATAAAGATTAGTAGTCAAAGAAACACTACCGTGAATGATATAATGGCCTCTTTCATTAAAGTGCTGTTCACACAGACTGCCTGCAACAATCAGATTCTAACTTTCATCCTTCAACTGTAATTTTCTGCTTCGGATTTAAACCTGCTTGTTTTAAATGTTACTGTGTGTGTGCCCATACTCTTACTTAGTATGTTCGTGTGGATGGCACTACAATCTTAAGTAAGGTATAAACCTGAGATTGCTTGGTGCAGCCTATTGCAGTGGGATGGGGGGGGGGACAATCTTATGTCTATGAATCCTGTTCACACAGCCTCCAGTTGACTGATCAGGCGGGTTAGAAAACCCAGTAAATGTTATGTGGGTGTACTGACCTTCAGAAATTCTTTAATATTAATATTGCACAATAAAAATGTGAGCAACATGCACAGTGCTCTGTATTTGGAACCACCAAAAATGTACTAAAAGCTAAGAAAAGAAGCATACCAATATACTTGAGCTATTTTCATACTGTGAAGATAGATAATTAATTAAAAAATTAATTTTAACAAGTACTAAAAGCTGAGGAAAAAACACACCAATATACTTGTGCTTTTTTCATGCTACGAAGACAGATAAGGAATACAAAATGAAGTTAAAAAGTACTAAAAGCTGAGGAAAAAACACACTGATATACTTGTGTTTTTTTCATGCTGTGAAGACAGATGATAAATTAAAACTTAATTTAAAAAATACTAATAGCTGTGGAAAAACACATCAATATACTTGTGTTTTTTCATGAGGTGAAGAAAGAGAATGAATGAAAAATTAATTAATAAATTAATTTCAAAAGCTGAGGAAAAACACAGCAGTATACTTGTGTTTTTTCATACTGTGAAGACAGATAATGAATTAAAAAAGAATTGAAAAAGTACTAAAAGCTGAGGAAAAAAACCATACCAATATACTTTAGTCTTTTTCATGCCGTGAAGATAATGACGGATAATGAATTAAAAATTAATTTCAAACAGACACTGTCTCCTTGTCTGAAAACCTCAGGGTTTACAGGAGGTTAATTTATAAATGAAATGTAGCCAAACCTTTAACTCCTAAAATTGTCAATGGAGTCATGAATTTTGTATAGGACTGTCTCTGATCTCCCTTTTTCAAATAACAACAGAGTATAACATATATACCAATGTTCTATTTGGTTCTCTTTATTTGTCAGCAAATATGAATCATGTATTACCATTGCATTAGAAGTGACAGCAGATGTAGATCACCATTACTAGGTATATTTCCTTATGCAATGTACTGACTTTACAGAATATGACAGCGCATTATTATAAGAGCTGCACTGAGGGCACTGTTGGGGTTTTTCTTGCTTGGCGGTGCCTGGGTGGGGTGGTCCCTTTGTTCTGAATACCTTAAAACATGTTAAAAAACATACATTTGTGATGATATATTTAGAGGTAAAACACTGGTGTAATGCTACCACTTTACCAGATCAGATGTGTATTAACTACAGAAATAAGATCAGCCTAGCTTTAGTAGGAGTTAATCAGTTTGATTTCTCATATTATGTATGAATGCTTCTAGGTAAATGTGTTTTCTGTCTACATAAAATATCACACATTTTAGTACAAAACAATATATAACAGATAATGTGTCTTCTTATGACCACTTAGATTTCTTCTGAGCTGTTCTCAAGACCTCTTTCTCCAGAGGATGAATCTCAAAGCCCTGTTGAGAGAAGAGACAGCGCCATCCTCTCTCCATCTGCAGATTTCAGCAGTCCACCTCAGTTTTCTTCCGTTTTGGACAACTCTGCTGCTAGACATAGGCTGTCGGTGAAACCTAGAAATCAGAGGTCAAGCAAAATAAGGAGGCCTTCTGCGGTAATCGCATAACTTACATGCTTTACTATAGTGCATTTAATTGCAATTTGTTGTCTGTTAGGTCACAAAGTTACAAGTATAAGGTATCTATATCTATATATAAATAGAGTAGAGGCACTCATGAGCAGGAATGTATGTTCAAATAGAAGGAGTTTATTTTAAAGGAGTTTATTGTTTCAATGGATTGCAGTCCATCTTTATCAAGGCTGTTGTCTGTGATCCATCAAAATGTTGGATAGAATAACCTCCTCTTGTTTGGACATACACTCCTGGCCAAAACCTGTGAGTGCCTCTACTACTTTCTATTTATCTTCTGAAGTTACTTTGCCGCAGTAGACTTGTGCACATACTTGCTGGACAATGTGCAGTGATCCTC